TGATAATTTAAAAAAAATGTAAAAAAAACGCGTGTTGTTAATTTAATAGTGACACCCATCTAGTCGTTGTTTCTATATTTATGAGTAGTATTTTTCTTTTTTGACCGTCTGTCTGTTTGTTTATTTGTCTGTGATTACGGTTGCTTTGGTTTTTCAACATGTACGCTTGATTTCATCTGTTCATTTACTGATTGGTTACTGATTTATATAGGCTCGAATCTGCACCCGCAGTTGAGCCTCTTATTTCTCGCAATCCACTGCCAATTCTTGCTAATGCAATTTGTAATAAAATACCGGAAGGCCGCGAGAATGACCCAACCGAGATGTCGGCATTCCGGTGTCTGACCCGAGTCTCATCCGTACAACCGCCGAGGTCGGGCTCCAGGGCTATCAACATCGATCAACATTTCATTTCCACGCAATCATTTCCTAAAACCAAACAGATTAAACTCTCACTGATACTTAAAAACATTCTTACTTATTTAAATCCCATTCACTCAGTTGGGTGGTAGAGTTCTCCTTAACTGCCAGCGAGATATGGCAATCTCAACACGACACACAAAAATGACACAATTACGCAGAAAACAAACACTTTGATTGAATATTAAAATTTTTTTTGCATTGTACAAATTCATTTTATTTCACATCCTACATGTATTTGTTAAATTTAAACAATGTTTGTAAATCCCCGGCCCTGAAGATGATCTCAATAAAGATCGAAACGTTGGCACGATAAAGAAAATGTTTTTCTGAAACCTACATCACACCAGACCGCATCTCACGATTTCTGAATAATCATCGACTAACGGTCACTAATCACCACACAAATTTATTGAAAATAGATAATAAAATTAAATCCTTAGCCAATAATGCAAAATCCGAACAAAAATAACAAAACTAAAATTACCCTTTGAAATTGATCTAGTGTCTATTCTAATTTAATAATAAAAATAATTCTTTAGATTTCGTAGTCCGATTGACCAAATAACATTTTTTAATTACTTAATCTTTATGTAAGGTGTTGTTTGAGTTAAAAAGTCTGTGTCACGAGCGGGATTCGAACCCACGACCTTCGGCTCAATTCGCCGCTGCTCTATAGCTCTATAGCTCAAGTGGTAGAGAATAAATATAATAAATAATCTGACTCCAGTATTATAAATGCACGCATAAAACAAACAAACAAACAAAAAACTTTTTTAGGGAGGCCAATATTGATGGCTCTTCTTTTCTTCTTTTCAGATTCATATCTTCGTTTTTCTTTTTGTTAATCTTCGGCTTCCGACCAAAATTGTTTTTTCGAAAGCACGATCCTATATGGCCCGTCTCCTCGTTTTCTTCTCCCTTACGCTTCCTAATGGCTGGCGTGTATTTTTAGAATTATCGTCATAAAGTGAGTATATCGCTGAATTACTTATAAAATAAGGCAACTTTGGTGAAACCTTCAAAACGTTTTATGGACAAGTCGTTGTACGAGGCACAATTGAGTATGTACAAAAAAAAGACATGGGTTTTGCCATTTGTTATTCTTTGATATACAGGAATAATTCAACGAAAATGTTATTATCTTGTGAGAAATTGAATATAGATTGTGAATTAAAAGTCAGATTTCTATTTCAATGACGCTAATGTTCAAAAGTTACAATGCTATGTAAAAAATCTGATTTTAGACTAAAATTAGAAAAACGTTAATATCTCAGGAAGGAGTCAAAGTAGAAACCTCGTTCTCGTGGCAATCTGGCAACGTTTTATTTCGTGAATTCAGCATGGTAGTATTGACAATTAAACATTTTTACCACTTTTTTTCAGGCCCTAAAACGAACAAATTCTTCACATTCTTATAGTATACAATAATTATTCCATTAAGACACGAATTTCAACCGGTGAAAGTTTTGTAAACGATAAAGAAAATGTTTTTTTAAAACCTACATCCCACCAGACCGCAACTCACGATCTCCTAATAATCACTGACTAACGATCACGAAACACCACACATTATTATATATATTATACCTATTTGTTTATTTTTCTTTTCGGGTAGTTATTAGTTTTCTTAAACATAAAATCAGTGCACTTTTTCATTATGACCATGGCTTTTCCAAATTTAATTGAATGTTTGTTTCTCTGCTTTTTTATTTGTTTATATGCAAAGGTTTAGGTTTGCTTTGTTTTTTATCATTTATAGTCTTTTTGTTAACTGTTTTTGTGAATATTTCCATTGTTGACTCTGAACCGGCAATGGGTCCGCCAGTAGTCGCTAGGTCGCTTTGCGGACCCAACATAACAGAGTTATATAGTATCATATAAAACTAAAACCGGAAAGATCATTTTTTTAAAGAAAGAGTCAGGATTGTGGAGAGTGTCAACCTTTTGTGTTTTTATGTATTGCCCTGACACTTTAGACGAAAAGTAGAAAAAAAAGGACAATATCTAAGTCATTTATCAGCATGATATGTTGGTTAAAGAATTCCCTTTAATAGAAGGCACCCCTTTTCTACTATCTCAAGCTATAGAAATTTTAGAAAAAAAGCCGGATAATGAATATAGGAAACGTCTGAAATTGACACCTGGCCAAAGATTAATTTTATTGTGTTTTAAAGTAGTATACGATAACCAGGTGTGCTGATACAATTAATAACTATTTCAAAAGAGGATACGTTTTTAAGAAATATATTTTTTCACAGACAAGAACACATAAAGCAATTTATCTAATAAAATGACATTATACTACACGTCTGCAAGGTGTTTAAAAAAAAAATTAATATAAAGTGTAAAAAAAATATTCTATATTTTGTTAGTTGTTAAGTAATTGTTTAAGAAAAAAATTGTATAAATTGAAAAGAATTTTTTTGGATTAAACTATCCACTTTATTCAAAATATTCGCCCCTAGCATATTCATATAAGCAAGGAACGATTACTTATGCCTGAAAGATTTGGGTATAACATTCATGGTAACAATATTGTGTTGAAATTGGAATAATATCAATGAATATCTAGACAAAATAAGTTAAAATTTAAAAAGAAAATTTTCATCTATTGTTGGCAAAAACAGGGTGTATTTTGCAGATGGTCCGGCGGAATTTCTCTAGAACCAATAACGCATCGAAAAAATAATAAAAAATAAAATACGTTTTTAATATTTTTTAGTCTAGTTTCAAATTTTTAGCTTTTTTTGTTGAAAAATTATACTGGGTATCTCAGGCCGAGTTCAACTTCAAAATTTCAAATTCGACCATATACATTCTGACACACAATTTTAAAGGATTTTAAAGGTGTTTAAAAAAAATTAATTTAAAGGGTAAAAAAATTATTCTAGATTTTTGTTAGTTGTTAGGTAATTGTTTAAGAAAAAAAACATTGTATCAATTCAAAAGAATTTTTTTGGATTAAACTATCCACTTTATTCAAAATATTCGCCCCTTGCATATTCATATAAGCAAGGAACGATTATTTATGCCTGAAAGATTAGGGTCATCACAAGGTCTAAAACAACTGTCCTGATCCAACCAATCGATTATAACATCTAACAAACATCGTGAATACCCCTAGTGTTTGTACAACTCGTCATTGGTTGAAGGGAAATTCAGCCGGGCCATCTAAAAACGACCCTATATATATGTTATTTTTAAGCAAATAGTACTGTACATATATATATATATAAATGTGACCGATTCATAAAAGACCGTGAGCCAGTATTGAAGCCCTCTTTAATTTAGTTGGATTAGGTCTAGACGTAGAGGTCATGAGGTCATCTCTGTTTTAAATCTACGGTGGCGTGGACGATTATAAGAGTGTGAAGTTTAGGTAATAACTAGAGCTATTTGATCAAGGCTGATGCTTGGAGTAAAAATTGTGGACATGTATTGGAACAAGATCCTCCACAAATAGGATTTTCTGGTATTGTAGAAGGGGGCTGGAGATGCGGCGGAGTACTATAGATTCAAAAAATTGAATTCGCTCGATTTTGGAGCGTTTGTTGCTCAGCCCAATTGCTTCAATGTTGTCCAAATCGGTCTAATGTCTTGGTGTGTAAGCGTTTACCTCGTTTTGTGTGCTTAATTGTCTATGTGTTCCATGGTTTGTTAAATTATGAAGCCCAAGGTACCAAATTTAGTTGGGAAAGAAGGAAGGATTACTTTGTTGTTTATGGGCACTGCTGGTCAGTCTGACATCTGAATCTTAACTTGATGGTTTTATTGCTGGTTTAACATGATTCGCCACCGAGTTTACCAACCAGTAATGGGGTCTAGGTTTTCATTCCATGCTTCAGTGCTTGATTGGAATGTTATGACTGCGGTGTCTTACGCGTACGTTGTGATTTGTGTGCTAGATAGTGCGAGTACATCAGAGGTGTAAAGGATTGGTCCTAAGGTGTTTCCTTCCCGAACGCCGGCTTTTATTGACGTGATGCGTGAAAATCGATGACTATTCTTACTTTAAAACACGGATCCGAGAGGCTATCATCAGCTAGGTCATCTAACGCACGGAGTTCCTAAACCAGAACGATTTATACTCTCAAATACATTCTTTTTTAGTTACAAATCATTCACTCAGCGGGGGTGGAGTACTCAATATTTCTCCATCCCCATATTCACCAATCCTATAAATAATCTGATTGAGAGTTGGTGAGGTGCTTAAAATTCCTGCCATGGACTCCTTCCACTACACATTCACGCTAATAAATACATTTAATCTCAATGCACACTAGCGTACCCAACAATATTTGTAATATACAATAAAACAACATGTTATTATGATGTTAACATGTTGTAATCGGAACAGGTTTTGGTTTTTCATTTAATCACTTGTTGTAATATATTAATTTTCTTGTTAGCTACCTCATATCGATGATCACTCTTTACTTACCGAATTGTTTTTTTATGTAAGTCCTTACAAACTATTAAGTTTTGAATAAAGGTTTTTGTTTATAACTATCAAGTAATATAACTATTGATATCTAAATATATGTTAATTTGAATAAAAATTGTGATGATGAACTTACCACTGCTAAGGTGACTTGACTCTGCTGATCTTGCTTGATGTCACCGTTCAAGTCGCGAGCTGCAGCTTGCTGCGCGGTGAGGAGCGACGTCGTGTCCACCATTATTCTCCTCCAAAGATAGTTGACCAGGGTGAATTCCAGGAGGGCGAGAAAGACGAATGCTGGGAAAGACAATTGTTCCAATTAGTTGGCTTATTTTAATAAATCATGTCAGGTTAAAAAAAGAAAATCCCTAACTCAGTCGATAAAGCCATTTAAATCGTTCTGCTAAACAGATCTCCAAGTTTTAATCTTGTTTGTTAATTAAGCAGCTGTAACGGATTTATTCGCTGGAAAGAGAGCTCAGGTCCAGTTTAACCGGATCATAATCTGATAATACAGTTGGCTTTGACCTCCCCGAGCCTCTTAACTGACAAAACGACACCAAGGTTTTTTCCCGTTATTCTTAAACGTAATTGGTATCACAAAGCAATAAACAATTATATTGGAAAAACAAATTTATATCCCTACTAGGACAAAAAAGGTTAAAAAAACATATTTTAAACATTTAGGTTTTTGTTAATACAACATTTTCAGTTGTAAGTGTTTTCGTTAAATAGAATAATATATTTACTGTATTTACCTCATTGTATATTTTGAACAATATTAGAAGAAGAAGAAGAAGAAGAAGAATATTTTATTGTATTTTAGCATTATATATATGCCTTTACAAGGGATGCACATTTTGTTTTCTCACATATTTTTACATAATTACAAAACTTTATCCATGTCAAAGATAACTACAGTAGAGTACCATATTTACAGTGCAACACAATTAACAATATACATAATTTTTAATTTAAAAAATAATTAATTATTATTATTTATTTATTATAATTTTACAATTATATCTTGATATAGATAATTAACAATAACATAGAACATATTATGGACATATAAAGAACCTTTGGCAGACTGCATCATTCATCTAACACAAACGCTCTCAACTTCAATGTACCAATATAAAATAAAATAAATCATTTATTTTTTCTTTATCCCAGCTTCCATTTAGTAACCATATTAATTTTTCGTCACTATTGTACAGTTGTGGTGCATTCTTTAAATAATTCTGTAAATATTTTTTTCTTAACGACGAATATATTGGGCATTCCCATATTATGTGTGCCAAAGTTTCGTTGACCTTGAAATTACAGATTGTGCATAATTGTGTGCAGTCAATGGAGTATGTAATGCCATTATAAAACAGTCTAATTGCTGCGGTACCCGATAGCCTTAGTTGCACTATAATTCTCTGCTTGGCCATGGAAACATTTTGAAATAAATAATTTTCGCATAAATAAAGAGAAGAAATTCGCCTGAAGAAGGGGTTGAAGCGGGAGCTAATGCATCGGTCGATGTTAATTGAATAGAGATTACTCTCCCAACGCTCTATAATGTCCCTTTTGTGCTTCGCCACCACACTTACATCACGAAAAAGAAGGGAAGGTTCGTAACCCAAACGAGCCAATATTGCATGTAAATGAACAAGCCAGTTACCATTACAATATTCTTTACGGGGTGATGAGAAGTTTGTTGCGAACAAAACAGATTCAAACGATCTCTTCAGAAGGGATTTTTTATCTGAAGCTAACACTTTACTTAGCCAGTTTATGACCCTAATCAAAATTTTGGTGCTAGTAGATTCAAGACCAAACTCAATTTTTATATAATGATCAGGCGTGTTGCGGGGCAGATAGAACAGCTGTTTATAATACCTGATTTGCAATTTGTCCAAACCCTTCAACTGCGCCACCGCCCAAAGTTCAGCGGCATAGTAGGCAGATGCAGCGACAACTGAGTCAAATAGCTTTCTTTTCGTCGCTAGCGAGTTTGATTTACTTTTAATTTCACTCTAGAGGAATTGATTAAATGCCTTGGTACGTGTGGGAATAATAAGTCTCCGGGTTGTGACTGTGTTGGATATGAATTCTTGAAGGCATTACCACCGGAATGGATTCATTATCTTTTGAATTTTTTTAATACAATTCTCGATACGGAGCAGATCCCCAATAATTGGAATAAAATAGTTTTAACTCTATTGCACAAGAGAGGTGACAGGAATGACCCTGATAATTACAGGGGAATAGCACTATTTAACACACTGTGTAAACTATTTACAACAATAATTCGTAACAGACTTAATAGGTACTGTGAAATCAATTGCATCATACCAGAAGAGCAGGCTGGGTTCTGTAAGAATAAATCTTGCATAGATAATCTTTTTATAGATAATTTAGCGACAAAGTACATCCAAAAAGGAAAGTACCTATTTGCTGTTTTTGTTGATTTCTCAAAAGCTTTTGATAACATAAATCATAATTTGCTCTGGGCGAAAATGCATTCATTGGGGATTGGTGGCAAGATTATACGTATCCTTAACAATGTTTATAACTCTGCGGGCTTTAACCTTAAGCTGAACGACGACTTATCAGAGGATAGCATCGCTGTTACGAAGGGGGTGCTTCAGGGAGAATCCCTGTCGCCCTTACTTTTCTCTCTATTTATATCTGATTTCATCCGTTTCTTTGAAAACCGGAATATGGTGGGTGTTAGATTGGACGAACTTGCTCACCTTGTATGCCTGCTCTTTGCTGATGGCGTAGTACTTCTGGCTGACAGCTATAGGGAATCTCAGAGGATGCTTAACGTTTTATCTGATTACTGCTCCACTAATAAACTGTCTGTAAATGTTAATAAGACTAAAGTTCTAGTATTCCGAAGGTCCCCCATTTGCAAGAAGTTAAGAACTTTATATTTTGAGTCGCAGCCTTTGCTGTATGTAAACTCGTTCACTTACTTGGGCATACCTCTTAGCTGTACAGGTAAATTCAATTTGGCCAGGAATAACGCACTTAATAAAGGTATGCGAGCTCTTGGAAAGATCAAAGAAATTCTTATTAAAAGTATTTTGAACAATATTATTATAACTATATAATAATATATTGAAAAAATCGGTATTTTTATATGTTATTACGATCTTAGCGTGAATCCCCTTCACTCGAAGCAAACTCGTTTCCTTTCGAGTGTAAAATAAAAATGAAAATAAATATTTGTGCCACAAACTCAAAAAAAATAATCGGAAAAGACGGAAACCGGGACCTGATCCAAATAAATTATAACAAAACCTTAAAAAAAAACAAATGTATTCAGATTTGAAAAAAATAAAAATAAAAATATGCGATCTATGACATACGCAACTAACGCCTTGCAATTTACATAAAAAGAGCAGGTGTCTTCAAACAAATTGAGAAAGAGTCCTTCCTCGTCCTTTGGTGGCTCAGCTTGCACTGCCCGAGCCTCGGTTGGGGATTAGCTTATCCTTTGAGATAAGCTCCTCATTTTTGAAAATATTGTTATAATGTTATCATCTGTCATCGTATCTATATTAACATAGTTATTTGGATGATCCTATTTGAAGGTTATGCAATGAGGAATAAGAAACAGAGAACCATATCATCTTCGAATGCAAAGCAACCGCTTATTGGAAACTTAACCTGGGATACAAAGAAAACTCAAGAAAAGGAATTGTAACATAGACACTCAATTAACCAGCACTTATTTGAATGAGTATCGAGGCGATTGGGCTGAACTAAGCAACTAAGATAGTACAATAAGCCTTAAGGCTGCAGTGCTTGGGGAACAATATCCTCTCCTATTCCTAGTATCCGTCATCATCATTCAGTTATTTCTTTCAATACATGATTTTGTTACTTTATTTTATGTTTTATTCTGAGTATAAATAATAAGTAAAATTTACTTTTATTTAGAATTATTTTAATTTTTCGAAATGTGTTTTCGAAATGTGTCGTTGGTAAAAAGTGTGGATGGAATTGGGTAATCATAGCAACGTTGGAAAAATAGAAGAACGAATAAGTTTTTTTTTTTCAAAATACAAGGTGAATGAAGTGTTAACTAGGTTGAAAAAGGAAATAAAGGCTTATTTAATAACGGATTAATTAAAATCCTAAATCAATGATAGTTACCATTGAGGTAAAATGTTAAATCAGCGAAGAAATGAGGTCCAAAAATTTTAGCAAAAGGCGTAAAAAAAAACTTCATTTCCATACGGAAATATCTTTCGTTTATTCATTTTCCATTCGCCGACATGCGTCTGAGAATGTTTTTAATCGAGTGAAAGCCAAATGGGAACTGTGTCAGGAAAGCCCACATGGAAAAAGGAGCCAATTACTTTTGGGGCGTTTCGAGAGCTAACACAAAAATTAAATTAAAAGGGCAGAATTATTACTTTAATTTGATATGCTTTCGGTCCATTTGTTACACCTGCCAAAGTGGAAAATAAGGGTAAGTATATGAATATACTGAATATAACTGCGCACCGATGTAACCTACAGTTGACTTAAATGACAAAAATAAAATCTCTATGTTAAAAATTATAGAACAAGATGTATTTATCGTTCGGTCGTGAAAATATAAAATATTTGCCAACATTTATACACTACTGTTTGTGAAATTGTATATTAATATTACGAGAAAACATCGAGATCGAGATGAAAATTGGCTGGGGAGTTTGTGAGGAAGGCGGGCGATAGCGTGCCAGCCGTGTTTGGAAATTTAGCCTCTCATATACTCTTGACATCCTCCTAATAAAATCATGAGATTGAATGATGAATGCTTCATTCCTCATCGTGCCTCCGCGGTTCGGGGTATCAGGTCATGGCCGAACACTTATAGCTCTCATTGAACCAGGCTCAGGCAAGATTACGTGGCGGATGGGCAAGGAGCGAAGTACAACGTATTACAAGAGACCATCATCGCATTTTAGGGTAGGAGCTGTCGTCGTGGTGGCGAGGGGCTTTATGCCTGATCAAGATGGTCAAGGTACAAGAGCTCCTCAATAGGCTACTTGCCCTGTTCTTAATAAACCCTTTTCTTGACGCTGGGGATAGCGTGGGGCCACATGGGGAGAGGACATCAGGCACTCGGATTTCCGGAAACTCAATTTCATATTACATTTTTAACATTTTCTTATCCAAAATTTATGTTTGTTTTTCTGTTCCCATCCACCACCCGACGGTTTCTCAGGGATACCGCATACCGCATATCAATCTAACATAAGGTTGATACTACTCCATTTTTTATGTATTTGCTAATGATTAAGTAT